ATCAAGGTGGGCTGAAGGGCAAGAGCCTACAAAGACCTCCTTCAGCCTGTGGGGGTTGCTTCAGCAGAGCCCAGGCAAGTGTAGAGACACCGTCAGAACAAAGATTTTTCCAAAGCCAGCTAAGTGCTATGAGGAAGGCAGAAGAAACCCATCTGTGAGAGTGACCCATGGTGTGTGCTTCTGGGGAGGGTGTGAGAGAGACTCCTGGAACGGGCCTACGTGAGCGGTGCTGAGGAGACAGACGTGTGATGTTCTAGAAGAAGGGAGTGGCCAGACAAAGCAGGAGCAAAGATCCCGAGGTGGTGAGGATAGGGGGTGGCCGGAAGGGAGGGCTGGAGGAGAGAAAAGGCCCAGAGAGCGGTCCAGGCCCCATCTAAGAGCCCTGTGGACAATGGCAGAGTTTGATGTGCTTTAATTGTTTTGGTCACAATGGGAAGCTGCTGGAAGACACTTTAATGAAAGTTTTGGTTGTTGTCATTGTTTTGAGATAGGGTGGTCTTGAACTTCTGATCCTTTTATCTCCCTGAATGACATCACAGTTATTCGGAACCACGCCCAGTTTTGTAAGGTGGTGGGGATTGGATCTAGGCAAGCACTCTACCAACGAAGCTACATCCTTAGGTGTAATTTTAATCAGAAGAGTGGGTAAGCTGGGCGGTGATGGCGCACGCCTTTAATCCCAGCACTCGGGAGGCAGAGGCAGGCGGATCTCTGGGAGTTCGAGGCCAGCCTGGTCTACAAGAGCTAGTTCCGGGACAGGCACCAAAAGCTACAGAGAAACCCTGTCTCGAAAAACCAAAAAAAAGGAAGAGTGGGTTAATTAGACTTGACTCAGGTTAGAAGATCTTTTGGGTCACTGTCCGGAAGAATAAGAGAGGAGGCAGGGAGACCAGTTGCTACAAGCGTCCAGATGTCAAGACTGGGTGTCTTGGCTTGGGATTGAAAGGCTTGGAGATATAAAGAAGCGTTTGGGCTTTGAATATATTTTGGAATTACTTCCAACATGACTTGCCAATGGTGTGGGTGTGATTTTGAAGAAAGAGGCTCCTAGGTAATTTCCCCCTTCTTCTGTGGATGTGTGTGCGCGGTTCTATGTATGGTGGTGCTTGTGTTTATGGTGTATGTGTGTGCACTTATGCATGCATGTGTGGAGGCCAAAGGATGACTTCTTGTGTCATGTTCCACGTAATTCATCTGAGACAGGGTCCCTCATTGAATTCAGGGCTAGGCTGGTGGGTGGCCTGCAAGTACCAACAATCCTCCTCCCTCCTCATTCTCCAATCTTGGGGTTATGGGCACCAGAAGCCAGGCCCAGATTGTTATGCGGGTGCTGGGGTTTGAATTCAGTTCTAATACCTGCACAGAAAGCACTCATACCAAGCGAGCCATCTTCCTGGGCTTGAGCTTTTGACTGGGTAGGTGACTGAGCGGGGAGGTCATCTTCCACCAAGGGCAGGATGAGGAGAATGTGAGGCTGTTTTCAGGAAGTTGGACATGCACACGTGTCCTTCATGGATGTTGGCGGTGAACACACAAGCCAGCGGGATATAGATGATTTTATTGGTGGTCCTGAGTGAGATAAGTGAGGGGGAAAGGGTGTGCAGAGGAGGAAAGAATACAGAGAACTAGGCCCTGGGGCATCTTACGTTTAGAGACTTAGAGACTAGAGAAGGACCTCCAGAGGTGACTGAAGACTCCTGTGTGAGGTGGGAGCTAGGGGAGGGTGATGCATGGAGACCAACAGAAGACAGAGTTTAGAGAGGGGGCTCTCAATGGCCAGACGCTGCGAGGGAGTGAGAGGGGATGGGAAGACTGGCCCCTGGACTTGGCATATTGGGGACCCCTGGGATGGGGAAGAGGAGGCAAACACATAAAGCTCTTAGAAGATTTTGCTTTGCATCAATGGTAGCTAACTGGAGGAGGCGGTGCTGAGAGAGAGTTATAACATTTTCAGAAAGGGGATTTGTGAAAGAGAGAGAGAGAAAGAGACAGAGAGAGTCTGGAGTAGAGATTTGGTGATGGGGTCTGCCTGTCGGCTGGAAAAGGCGTGCCAGACACAGGGATGCTTCTTCCACATTGCAGAGGAGAAGGCAGAGGAACTGGACACGCATACTAAGGAGATGGTAGACGTGTTAGGATGATCTGGAATTTGCTTCCTGTTTTTGCTCCTCAGGGACATGGGATGTCTGTTTGTCAGTCAAGCTCTAGGATTGTGAGAATGAGGGTCGGAGGGTGAGAAAAGAAAAGGAATGTTCTAGTCGCCTTGGAGGGTGAGAAAAGAAAAGGAATGTTCTAGTCGCCTTGGAGGGTTGGGCTACAGTTTCAGGAAAGTGTAGGATTGCGTAGAAATGCTGGGTACCCGACGTGAGCTTCACCACCGTCAGGTGTTTAGGCTTAGATCAGCTGGTCCAGCTGCGTGATTCTTCCGAGGGCCCAGCAACAGCTGTCTCTTGGATAAGATCTCACCAGGTAAAGTGTGAGAGAGACATATGCAAAAGCAAGGGGTGGGGAGTTCCTAGGCAGCAGTGAGTACAAGAGCCGGGCGGGCGAGTCCAAGCTGGAATTGAGAGAAGGGAGACCGTGAGGAGGGGCAATGGGCAGTGCATGGGTGGGCTAAGGGGTGCAGAAGAGGGATTGCTCTAGTGAGGGCCAGGCTGAGCGAGTTAGTAAGACAGGATAAGGCTGATCTTGGTCCAGACAAGGCGTGGGAGGTAAGGATAGGTAAGGTCTGGTGGGAGGAAAAAGCTTGTTGGAAGCGAGAGGTCAAAGAACTGAGGGGTCAGATGTCTTAGCTGTGAAGACACCAAGGACCCTAGCAGCTGCTCCAGGAGAGAGAAAGACGAGGAGTTAGGGGTGGGGTCACAGTCGCCCAGGAAGGACGGGGAATATCCAGCTTTCTTATTTGTATCTCAGACTTAACCTGTCTGAAAAGGAAGGCATCTCTGCTCCATCAAACCTGCACATCTACCGGGGCTCCGGACTCACCAATGACATTGCCATTTAGAGACTGAGTGTCACTTCGGTTCTTCTCCGTGCTTGGTCCCCACACCCAAGCAAATCAGCAGATCTCTCTGGTTCTATCTTGTAAAGCCCAGTTATTTTCTTCCGTGCCCACGGAGCACACCCTGCCCAGTTCGCTTCGTTGTGGTTTCTCAGACCATTGCATCACGCTCCAAATTGGTAGCCCTGCCTCAGTCTCTTCACGATGCAACCGCAGGCGTCACCCCCGAGATAAATCTTTCCAGGACTTGTTCTTGCTTTTAGGATGAAGTCCAAGATCACTAGCAGGGATTTACAAAGCGCACATTACGTGATCTTTCCTGGTCCGTCTCAGCTGCACGCCAAACACTAGCCCCTCAGCTGACTCAGCCAACCTGGGTTTTTTCCGACCATCGGATTTGCCCTCTGTTGATTCACAAATGCTATCTCTCTCTATCCAAAGTCCAATTCTCCAGCACTTGGCAAAACCCTTACTTTCTCCAAGTGCCATTGTGTGGTCCCAGGGAGTTCTTTTCTGGATGCCTGTATGCCAGGCCCTCCTCTTCTGCCTCCCAGCACCTGACGCTCCCCTAGGTAACTAGGAGTTTGGTCATCATTTTTACCTCTAGGACGTAAGCTGTGTGAACCCAGGGAGGAGGTTTGATTCTTCCCAGAACCCAGCGTGGGGATTTGACATAAACCTAAGCCATCGATATCTGTAGACTTGAATCCAAGAGGAGGTCCTAAGGGTGGAGCCCCTGTGGGTGATGACAAGGTCTGGCATCTTCTGAGTGGGAAGCTGAGTGTCTCAGAGGACAAGGAAGTCAGGGGATGAAGAGGGTAGGGTGAAGCACAAGTGGTCCATGAGGCCCCGGGTCATTGACAAGGGCTAGGAAGAGAAGATCCCTGGCCACAGGCTCAGTCTTGAATGAATGAGAATGACGTAGCAGCGTTGGGAACAGGAAAGAGTGGGCAAGAAGACAGAAGGGAAATAGGGGGAATTTTTAAATAGGTGGAGTTTTGAGTGAAGGCAAGAATGGTAGGGGGTGCTTGAGAATGTGGGGTACACAGGATGAGACATCCTAGTGGCCAGGGAGTACCTCCAGGATCATCTCCGTCACCTCTGGAGTCTTTGGCTGGTCAGACAATAGTTGCTCTCCACCTGGCTAGTGTTTCAGGAGATCTCTGGAAGGTGAGGGAATTATGGGAATGGGTCAGGTCACAGGGTGAGCTCACAACATGCCGAACCTGACAGCAACTCCTGGAGTGGGCTTCTAGTCTCTCAGGGGTATTGTGCTCTGGTCTGGACTTGGCAGCTGTCTTGGTCTCGACAGTGTAGGGTTATCTGATTCTATTGAGGGTGCCTGGGCTGGGTAGTTACAGTTCTGGGCTGATGAAGGTTGAGAGCCACCCCTGGCTCCTAGAGTCAGCTGCCCAGGAGGTGGTGGTGTCCCAACACCGGTCCCTATCTTCCAAGTTAGCAGTTCCCGGAGAAGAGATGTTGACTGAACCAAAGCTTCCTGCTAGTTCCAGGGTCAGGTCAAACCCGTGGCTTGTAGGAGAGTTCAAAGGACCAGTACTGTGTATCCAAGGGGACCACTCTGTGGTGGCATTTATGGCCCCCTCTTACAAATTTGGCAAGCTCTAGGGCCCTGGCTGCTTAAACAGTTTAGCCCAGCCCCTCCTGCCTTGTTTTCCTGCTCTGCCCTTCTTAGGTACCAAATCCTCGTCTGTAGCTCTGCTTCTAGGGAGCTTGACATAAGACAGGTGACTCTTTGATCTTGTCCCCAATCAGGATAAAGCATAGAGGCCATCCAGTGGGCTTGGAGATTTTTCCTACTTTTAACCAGGATGTTTAAACTGGATTTAGTCAACCATAAGAAGCCAACAAGGGTAAAACCACTTTGCTGATTTCCCAGGTTAGGTGTGACAGGGGGTTCAGATAAACAAAACACGGTTTTTCTCCATGAGGCTCACAGCCAATTTACTCATTTAACAAACATTTATTGAATGCTGCGAGGACCTGGTGACTCAGCATCCTGTCCTTCGTGGGCTCACAGACTGCCGGGTATCGTTCATGGGTATTAGCTAGTCCATCCCAGAGAGTATGACAGGAGAGAGGCCTGAGCTTTTATGGCCTACAAAGTGGTGGTGAAGGCTGTCCTTGGGTTGAGGACACTCGCAGAGGAGGCAGGTCAGGTATTCCAAGCAGAGGGATCCGTGTGGTAAGGGTTGGAGGCACAAGCAGAGCATCACGAATACCTAGATGTTATCAGTCATAAACTGAGGGAGGAAGCCATGGAGGAATAGGGAGGTCAGTAGAGCCAACTTGGGGGCAATGGGGTTAGGGGTGGGTGTGCTGAAAGAAATGTTAGACCTGAAGGAATGGCATGGTTGCAGTCATGACTGAGTAACCAATCATTCTATCCAGGTGAGGAGGGTAGACCTGAGAGGCCCTGTGGGAGGATTGATGGAAGGTCGTGGGGTGACAAAGGAGGTAACTCAGGAGGGCAGAGAGCTTGGAATCAGGGCTCTGTGGTGCTGTGCCGGGATGTGGGCTGCGAGGAGCTGATGGAGGGGAGAGACTAAGTGAGGATCCTAGGCCAGTTCCTGGTTTGGACAGCTCGACAATGTCAGTGCCCTACATAAAGGGGACAGGGTCTCTGTGAGGAGGGCAGCTGGAAGGGAGGAAGGCAAAGCCAATGAGGAGTTGCTAGCTGTACTATGAAGGGTTTTCCCTGGGAGTTTCCCAGGGGCAGCTTGTAGACTCAGAGGCAGGTCCACGATAAGGAGATGTTTAAGGGACTGTCAAGGTATGTGTGGTTACAGGGCAGGGGAGGATGAGGTGACTCAGGGAAGGCTGAGGATCGATGGGCTGTGGTGTGTCCTCTAGACCCTGGGGAGACTCCATCTTGCCTTTGCTCTCAGCACCATTCTCCCACCCTCCAAGGTGCTCCCTACATGGGACCTGCATTGAGGAGGGTTAGGGAGTTCAGGAAATGGAAGGCAAAGACCTCCTGAACCACACACAATGTATGGAGGGACTTACACTCTCTGAGAACCAGATCAGGGTCTCCATTTCTCCCTGTCTTTCTGCCTCAGAGCTGTGAGGCCCCTGGTATAGGCCCTGTCTTTGCTGTTCTTCTCCATGTCCTGGTGTGTGTGTGTGTGTGTGTGTGTGTGTGTGTGTGTGTGTGTGTGTGTGTGTGTGTGGTGTGAGGTTGGGGATCAGATGATCACCTAGTGGTTTGGCTTCCCCCAAGAGGCCCACCTGAAACATCACCCCGACACCTCTCCAGCCATCACGCACAACCTGTCTTCAAAGTACTGAGAACATTGTATTTATTAAGGAGTTGAAGTACTCAATTGACAAATATAAAACCCCCACCAGCCATCAAGTCCCTGGAGGCTCAGGATTTAGGGACTCAAAGGTGTTTCCCATCTTCCACTAGCCCTTAGATGAACTTCCAGAACCCACAAGGCCATATTTCCCACCTGACCTGCAGAAGACGATACCCCCTTTGCCTAATTTCTTGGGTGACTTCAGTGAACAGGCAGTGATCAGTTAAGCCTACCTGCAAGTCATGGATAGACACCTGCATCCACTGTGGCCATCCCAACCTTTGTGAGGACAGCGTTGTCGTCTTGGGGGTGACCTCCTTGGGATATCACATATGGTGGGCACGTATCTGGTAGATGGTGCTTCCGAGAGGCTTTCCGTCGCCGGGGGCGGAAGACCTCCATACATCTCTTGCCCACCAGGTAGGCAACCTCACTGAGGTTGAGTAGGATACAGATGGCAGCTGTGACTACCATGAAGTAGGTGAAGATCTTCTTCTCCGTGGGTCGGGAGATGTAACAGTCCACAGTGTGGGGGCAGGGATTCACAGAGCAAGCCACCACTCGCGGCATGTCATAGTCCTTGTAGATGCGGTGGAAGATGTAGAGGAAAGCCGAGTCCACGGCAGCCTTGAAGATGAGACTCAGCAGGTATGTCCACCACAGGCCACCTCTCTTCTTGTTCAGGTTGCTGTACAGGGCTGGGGCATTGGGCCCATGTTTGCGGCGGTGCTTCCGTTCCCGGTCTTCCCGGTAGGCCACATGCATGACTACAAGCAGGGAAGGACAGGTGACCAGAATGAGCTGCAGGGCCCAGAGACGCACGTGGGACACCGGGAAGAACTCGTCATAGCAGACGTTGGGGCAGCCTGGTTGCTTGGTGTTACAAATAAAGTCTTTTTGTTCGTCATCCCACACCTCCTCGGCGGCCACCACATACACCAGCACTCGGAAGATAAAAACCACCGACAGCCAGATGCGGCCTAGGGCGGTGGAGTACTTGTTCACGCCGCTCAGGAGTCCCTGTAGAAACCCCCAGTTCATGTTGGCTGTGTCCTTGGTGTCTAACGTGGATGTGTGTGCACTAGTATGCTAACCTCTCTGGCCCTGGGAGTCACAAGGCCTGGGAGAACACGCGAATGGGAGTCCTTATAGGTGATGCCAAAGCCAGAACCTGTTTCACCGCAACCACTCGGCCATCACGTCCTCACTCGCAATGACTCAGAGAAGGGATGGCCACAGTCCCCATGTCACGGCAAAAGTGTCTTAAGGCTAAGAGGTGGCAGGTACCTGCCCAAGATCTCCCAGCAGCAAGTAACACAGATGGTCTTGAGCCCTGGTCTTCAGACTCCAAAAGTCAGGGTCTCTTTCCTTCTACAAACGAACAAGCACATGGGACATGATGAGTATCACACATGCACACGCCAGCCAGCCCTTTCCTCCCAGGTCTCAGCCATAGTGGCTCCCTGTCTAGCATCAGACTGTCTGCTCTCCCATTAGCTCTGGGGACTAGATGAGGGCAAGGAAGGCCTTTATTGGTGGTCAGATTTGTTGAAGTTTTCCCGGACCCAGCTCTGGCAGAGCCCTGTGTTGGGAATGCCTATTAGGGCTCTGTGATCTATATCTCAGAACAGCCTCCCTCCTCCCTCCTTTGTAGCTCTGGGATCTCTCAGCGGCATCCCTTCCCAGACTACACACGGGCTCTTCGGCACGGCACTCGTTGTGGCTTGGCATCTTTCCCTCCCTGCCGTGTCCGAGCAAAACAGATGGTCACACTTACTTATTCATCTTTTTTTTTTATTGTCTTGAAATCTGGGTCACAGTGGGTTCCTCTGGAATTCCAACCATTTTATTGATGTGTGTGTGTGTGTGTGTGTGTGTGTGTGTAAGAGATGGGGAGGAGACAGGGGCTGGGTCCTGGTGTGGTCTTTGCCCTGTCATTGATCTTTGTTCCTAGGTACACTCCTCTTCTCTGACTGCCTAATTAGTGGCTGTCTGATAATAGCATCTCCCATTATTTTCAGACAGGCATGTTCTGTGTACCCTAACTTTGCCATCCCCTGGGATGAAGTTCCTAGGATGCTCCATCTCAAACCCTCCTTGCACCATCCCTGACTCAGCTCCTGGATTCTGCAGCAGCCGTGTATCCCTGGGACACGTGCTGAACCCCCTCCGTCTTCCCCTGCAGGGCACATCCCATGTACTCCAGTGGCCCAGTCAAATGTCTTCCTTGTTAGATTGAGAGCGGCTGGAAGCCAAGCTGTACATCTGCCTCCTGGGACCCAGCTCTCTGGCTGGTCCCATGCACTCTCAATGGATGCTTGTTAAACCCAACTGCAGCCTCATTCTTCCCAACCGCTTCTAGATTCTTCTCTGGTCCTCTGGCCTCCCTTTAGTATAGCACAACATTTCTTCCCCTCTGTGGGGGCTTCCTAGTGTTCCCTCAGGAACCCTGCCCTTTCCTGCCCCCTCTGTGGAGCTAAGTCTCCAGGCTTAGGTTCCCTGGGACCTTTCCCCCAGATGTCTGCAATTCTCTATGATCCTCACCCTTTCTTGGGTCCCCGTGGGTCCTCACTCTCCGGTGCCGGCTTGTCTGTCTGCCCGAGGGCCTCCTGGAGGCAGCTTTTGTTCCTTATTTCCAAGCAGGGTGGGGCTTTCTGAGCCAATGAGCCAAGAGAGAGTGCCGGGGTGGGTAGGCAGGCTGGGCGGAAGGACTTCCTTGGGCACAAGGCAGAGCGAACACCTGTGGCTCACACCTTGCTCCTCCAGCTCGTCTGGGTTGGTAGGTATGTGGGTGGGACTACAGTGATGGAGGAGGCAGAGTCTGTTGTCAAATCGTCCAGGGGCAGGATGGTACGAGTGTCGCGGATCCTGTGCCCGTCCCTTTCAGCTTGTTCTATCTGTCCCCTGGCTCCCAACTCTCTCTTTTGCCCAGTCCTCAGGCGACTGGTTCTGAGGTCCTCAGCAGCTGGTTTCTATGGAAAAAGACACCTTTGATTCAGCCCAGGACTGTGAGTGTCCCTGTCCCTGCTGGGGCTGTATCTGGGGACAGGATCTTAGGCTGCTCTGTCTTGGAAACTAGACAAGCCACCTGACTTTTCTAGACCAGGGCACCTACTGCCCTGCTGGAGACAAGGAATGCAGGTTGGTGACATGAAGCGCTGCTGTTGGCTTGGGGCCAAGCATGTAGGCTTGTTGCATGCCCTCTGTGTCCTAGGCCTGTCTGTTGGAAATGTCCCTGGAGAAGCCGGAGTGCCACCCAGCAGGCGCTTATAGCGGGGGGGGGGGTGTGTGTGTGTGTGTGTGTCTTGGGCTTGTGTCCGCAGGGACAGTGAAGGTTAGTGTGCACCCAGGGAGGGGCCCCTGCCTCATTTCATATAAGCATTTATCGAACACTTCCTAATAGCGATGATTCACGTGGCCTTTCTTGGCTGGCTAACCCTGGTACTGCCAGGAGCTTGTCGATGCTCACAGTGACCCCCTACAGGCTATGCATTTGATAGCTCATTTTGAGGAGGAGCTGAAGTTGTCTGCGTTCTGAAGCAGCCACACGGACTCCAGAGTCTGGGCGCATTGCATGACAACGTGCAGCTCTTCATGAGCCAAACTCCATCATCTCTATAGACACCCACAGCCCACGCTTCCAGCTGGGGCAAAAGGCTAGCTTTGGAACAGTCCCCAGGAAAAGCTAGAGACCCCTTTTCTGGAGGAGAGGATGACCCCTCGACTCCATGAAGACCAAGACCAAAGGGCACCTTGAATCTGTGAACACATTTATCTTTATTAATTTCTCACCCTGGGCCACACACATGGAAGGCATTTGTTCATCTGTGCCCTCATGAAACTCCTCCCCCTTGTGAAGCCCAGTTAAGTGGCACTCAGTGTGTTTATTTAACAGAAAAGGAAACTGAGGTACAAAATAAAGGGGTAATTCAGTGAAGGCCACTCAGGACAAGTGGCCTAGAGCTGAGGGGTGGGTGCATCCCAAGCTGTGGGAGTCCATCCTTTGACCTGCCTCCAAATTGGCTCTTCTCCCCACCAGATACACCTATGAGAGGCACTGGAACCTTCCAGTTCATGCCCCACCCTGCCAGTCCAGCCTAGGGACCCTTTATAGGATGGTTTTCTTCACATGGGCACGGGGGCGGTCTGGTAAGAGCGGTGGGTGAGAGTCTGAGCCCAGAAAGATGAGGTCGCCTGATAGGAGGTCCTTCGGTTTGCCTGGAGAGCTGACCCAGCTTGGGTCGTGCTCCGGGTGTGCAGCGAGTGCTCGCTTCGAAGCCATGCACTCAGAACACCGCTTTATCACCAGGTAGGCCAACTCCACAATGTTAAGCAGGATGCAGATGACGGCCGTGACCAGCATGAAGATGATGAAGATGTTCTTCTCTGAGGGCTTCGAGATGAAGCAGTCCACTGTGTTGGGACACGGTGCTGCATGGCACTTGACCACAGAAGGGAGGGTGTATTTGGGGTAGAAGGCGTGGAACAGGTAGAGGAAAATAACATCTATGCTGGCCTTGAACAGCAGGCTGCAGACGTACGTCCACCAGAGTCCACCCCGCTTCTTGCCAGGGTACAGGTAAAGGTGTCCCATGCCTACTTCTTCTTGGTACTTCTTCTCTCGAGCTTTGCGATAGGCCACATGCATGACCACAAGCAGGGAGGGGCATGTGACCAGGATGAGCTGCAAAGCCCAGAGTCGCACATGAGACACAGGGAAGAACTCATCGAAGCAGACGTTAGTACAGCCTGGTTGCCTGGTGTTGCAGTCAAAATCCTTCTGGTCTTCACCCCACACACGCTCGACTGTCACCAGGTACACCAGCACTCGGAAGACGAAGACCAGGGACAGCCAGATGCGACCAAAGGCTGTGGAGTACTTGTTGACCCCACTTAGGAGCCCCTCAAAGATGCTCCAGTTCATGATGGACACAAGGGCGGGCTGCTCCTGCAGGGGAACGAGAATGTGAATTTCCCACGTTATGGAATGCTCAGTCTGAGCACTTCGCAGAAATGGGTCATCACAGCACTAGGTACCATAATCACCCCTCATTTTACAGCTGAGAGAAACTGAGGTTTAGAGGCGTTTATGAAGTTACGTGACTATTAGATGCAGAGCTGGCATGGCGGCATAGGTTATTAAATCAGAGCAGGCCTGCTCATAAAAGTGGGTGTGTGCTGAGGCCAGGAACCAGTCATCCTGAATCCCTGATTCTTGGGATAGTCCCCCTTAGACTGTCCGTCCCCCCTCTGGAGACCCTACTCTCTGTCCTTTGCTGACTTAGGGGACGGAACTGCAAATATCCAGGCAATTAGGTGCCACTTACCTGAAGGCAGGACAATTTAGATTAAAATAGGGAACCACAGTGCTCTTTATACAAGAGGTTCTCCAGAACAAGCAGATGGGCCAATGCCAACTATTGTTTCATGGCACCCTGGTCCAGAGGCAGACAACAGGCATTGCGAGAGAAAATGATTCTGTGTTCAAGGCAACTTGGCAAATAGCTGGGTTCAGCAAAATTAAGTAGGTCCCTTTACTCACCCATGCTAATAAATTCACTTTGTGACTCAAAGAGGGATGAAATAAGGCAGCATTACCCAAACTCCTCTGACCACAGAGCCCCCTTTCATCCAGATACAGCTTTGATCAGCTTGTTGGACAGCTTTGTCCAAACACCAGCATGGAAAATGGTGTTTGGGTGGGTTCTGCTGGTGAACTTGGCGTGAATGACCCATGGAAGCCAATTCATCTTTTGAACCAAAGCGTCCCTACTTCTCCACTAGGGAGCACTCTTTCTGATTCTTGGGGAGATGATGGGGGTCCACCGAGGCCAAGGCACCGTGGGCTCACTCTAAGAAGTTTTGACTAAAGGAGGGAGTCACACACTTTTACGTGCTGGCCTGGGTGGAAAGTCACGATCCACATGAGCTGAAGGGTCAGCTGCAAAGCAGGGTGTGGCCACAGCCAACTCAGATCGTGTTTATGCAGTAAGGGGCACTGCTCAAAGCATTTGGCAAAAAGCAGTATTATTCCCTCCATAGCCAGGGCTATGGCGTTTTTCTTACCTAGAGGAGGTCAGAGAGCTTGAGCAGTTCCTTGGCCTTACCTAGCTAGTAAGTAACTCAGTGCTAGGCAGGCTGGTGCCCGAGTTCACTCTGCAAACTGTCCAGTTTTGAGTTGGGGTCCTTTCCTTAAGTATTAGGGGACTGCTTGCTCTTCCAATTCATCTCCTTTCTCTGCCGGGTTGGTCTGGGGTGAGAGCGTCCGGGGGTGTCTCAACGCCTCACGCCATCTGCTGCATCACTCACCACTTGGCCACATGGTGGCCTTGCTTTGAGTCACTGGCTCCTCTGCCCAGTCCCGTCTCCGGTGGGTGGAGCTGGCAGAGACTTAGGGAACACCCAGGGAAGCCTAGCCCTAACCCCAGGGCTCTGCAGGCTCAGGCATTGCTGCTCTGTCTGCAGCCCAGCTCCGCCCTGCTCAGCCTCTTTCCCACTCAGCTCCAGGCCCCCGGTTCTGTCACCTCTGCCCACTGGGGGCAGGAGGAAGAGCCCAGAACAGAGGGAGCAGGGCTTCCCTTCACCCTAGAAACCAGGGATGGCCCATTCATTCAGGCAACCTCCCTCCAGCCTCCTCCAGAGAACCCGTCCCTGTTGGTGTGCTTTTCCCTACGAGGCATGCCGAGTCCTGGGCACATCTGAGTATAGAGGCCTTTACCTGAGCAGCGACTCCTCAGGGCTCCCTAGTACCGCTCCTGGAAGCCAGCAGCTGGGGTTCAGCAAGCATCAGAATTCATGTCAGAGTCAGGGAAGGGTTTCTGGGGAAGCTCATACTTAGGGCAGAGGCTGTTGAGCAGCCCAGGCGCGTCCTGTTGGCCAGGAGGGATGGGGGGGGAGGGGAGGAGCTGTGGACTGCGTAGTCATTGGCTAGGTCCTGGGCCTCTCAAAGACTGCCTCCCAGGAGGCTGAGAAACCTAGGAATTTCGTCCTTTCAGAGCCAGAACCCTGGCATCCTCTAGGAAAATCTCTACACTCTTTCATCTTTTCATAGTCGCCCTGACCCCTTTAAATTCTTCCAGAATTCCCCAGGACCAACTCTGCTCTCTCTGTCTCTCTGTCTCTCTCTCTGTCTCTCTCCTTCCCTCCCCCTCTCTTTCCCTCTCCCCCTCCCCTTTCTCTCCTCCCTCCCTTCTTGCCCCCCTCCCCCTCTCTTCCCCCTCCTCTCTCTTGCAGCAGAAGTCCACACCCCTGCATTCACGTCCTGTATCCTCGCGTCTGTGCCTCACGCCCTGGTTTTGACTCTCACTCCCCCTTTTCAGCTCCTAGTTGCTTTGGTATGATGGAGCCTTCAGATACAGCCCAGGTTGGCCTCCAGCTCTGGACCCTCCTGGTTTATCCTCTTGAGTGCTGAGAATCTCCGCGTGGGGATTAATCAATGCTGACCTCACACCCAGCCCATTGTAGCTCCTGCCTGCATGAAGCGTGTCTGCCAGACAACTTTCCCTCCCAACTGCCGTCTCGAGCCCTGGAGAACGAGGCAGCATCTCGGCACTAGGCTCTGAGACCTTTTAAGCACCCAAATTATTAGACACAAACAAATAAAACCGAAAAACAAGCAAACGAACACCACGGAAACGAAGCATTTGTGTAACTCAGTCAACAGTGCGCTTATCTAGCAAGCAAAGACTTGGGTGAGATCCTCACCAAGACATAAAACGGGTGTGGTGGTGGGTGGTGCGCGCCTGGAATTCCAGCACTTGGGAGGTCGGGACTCAAGGGTGAAGAGTTCAAGGTTATTTTTCTCTCTGTCACCAGTCTGAGGTCAGCCTGGGCTAGACGAAACAGCATAAAAACGCGACTGACACGTGCAGGGTTTATAGGATGGGCTCGACTACAAGCAGGTAGGCTTGGCTCCCTTGGTTTCAGCCGCCCAAGCAGCGCTGGGTTGCCCAGCATTTCCACCGGTCCTTGTGTGAGTGGCTACCTCAGTGCCCTAGTCTAGAGTTTTGTGTGACACACGCATTCTAAAGAGCGTGAATTCTGTGACTAAACCTGGTGTGAGGCTCCCCCTGATGGAGGAGAAAGGCTGGTCGGAACCAGCTTCTGCAATGGTTTATGGCACATGGGTTGCATTTGGGACGTGGTAAGCAACTGTGGTACTTTTGGTGGGTTCTGGTTTGGTTGCAAGGCCACTGACAAGAGAGCGAGGGTGGGGTGGGATGGGGAGTGGGGGAGGGGCTCAGGAGGAACAAGTGGGGAGCGAGGTGTAAGGTTTCCTGCAGGGGTCTTGATGTTGGGGAGTTCCGCAGGAGACACAGCACCAGAGGATTGGGGCCAGGCAGAGGTCTCCGGAGCACTGGCCTGGTAGAGAGCAGGTAGAGGAAGGGGCACCGGTGGAGAAGGAAGCAGATAGAGAACCAGATAGGGCCAGCAGGGACGGAGATAGGGCGGCCAAGGGGAATCCCAGAAGGAAGCCAACAGAGCACTCTGGAACTTGCACCAGAGCGATTTCACTCGTGGGGTGGGAACAGAAACTGGAGGGGTGTGGATGGAGAAAGCGCAATTGGTCCCTTTTCTTGATTGCAAGGGAACGAGCAAGGCGGGGCTGCGGGTGGAGGGACAGGGCTGAAGGGAGTTTGCTCCTTCAGGAGAGATGCCTATCCAGGGGGAGGGCTGTGACTCGCACCTGGTCTTGCTTCACCTCCCTCCTCATCCATCTCCTTCCCCACGGGCTCTTTCTGGCTCCAGTTATCTGGCTTCACCACCTTCCACACACACTCCTGGCCCAGGTGGCCCTGGTCTTCCCGCTCGCTGGGTCACCCCTTCTGGCCTCCTTCCTGGAGCTGATGTCAACAGCAGGGGTGGATGGGAGGTGGGTTGCCTTCTGGAGATATTCAGGACCTGGGGCTCCTCTGATAAGGCGGCAGGAATGCCTGGGTGCCCTGGCCCAGTTGCTGACCCTGATAACCCCTGCTCCCTGAGGACAGCAGCTGTTGCTCTGTGTGCCTGTTCCATCCACTCAGGAAGGGGGCAGGGCTGGAAATCCACAAGGAATGATAACAACAGCTCTGTTGTTGGGCTCTTTTCTCCTAGTCAGAGCACGTCAACCGGCCTACGTGTATCATCTATGTAGCAACCTCTCTCTCTGGGCCGCTTCCCGACACAGCAGTCCTAGGAAAACACGGATCATATCAAAAAATAAAAAAAGGTGTTGAAGGCCTTCGATGGTTTCCCGATGCTCTTGAAATAAAGGCCCATCTTGCTAACGTGGCCCGTAGCACTTGGCACAATCTAGTTTCCGTCACCTTCTTCCCCCTCCGCCCCTTCCTTTTAGTCTTCCTTCTCCGGCACCCTGTCCTTTGCTCACTTTCTCCTCCACCAGACCACCAGACTCTCCTTCCTACCTCGGGGCCCTAGGACCTGTGTACCTTTCCAGTTTATAGTTTCCTCTTCCTCTTTCTCTTCCCCTTCCTTTCCTGTTTCTTCTTCCTTTTTATCTTCTTTGAGACAAGGTCTCACTATGTAGTTTTTGTTAGCCTGGAACTCACTATGTAAACTCAGAAATCCACCTGCCTCTGCCTCCTAAGTGCTGGGGGTAAAGGTGTGCGCCACCATGTCCAGCTAAAGGTGTGCGCCACCATGTCCAGCTAAAGGTGTGCGCCACCATGTCCAGCTAAAGGTGTGCACCACCATGTCCAGCTAACGGTGTGCGCCACCATGTCCAACTCTTTGTTTTCCCAAACACAGTGCCCACTCAGCCTTGAAACTTACTTAAGTGTAGTAACTGCCTCAGAAAAGCCAGGGAAACCTTTTCTGAGGAACAATGGGCTCTGGTTCTGTTATGCATTCCCTGGGGACAAGGGACAGGCACAACTGCTCTTATAGTGCCCTGGGCATCCATGGGTGGTCAGTGTCTTCTCTCTTTCCTTAGCCTGGCAGCCGAAGGAGCTGGCATCACACTATTCTGTCTCCAGCATCAGGGGTAGCACCTGAAACATAGGTGCTAGTGAACGCTGGATGGTCAAGAATGAATGTTTCTCAGGAGGCAAGAAGCTGCAGCATCCAGCAGGCCTTGAGCACAGGGTGCCGAAGCCTTAGATAAGCAGAGCTGGTATTCTGGAAGCCAGCTGCTTCCAGCTGCCTGAGTCCTCATGGGGGCTGTCTTGCTTCCTGGCTGGACAACACCTTGCACATCCCTTTTTGTGGTTTTAAATAATTTATTTTGGGCACACAATCCCACCTCTGGCCATGCAGCTACTGTTAGCTGCTGGGAGAGGGAGAGACTTCCCGAACAGTGTGGCCTCTGGGAGTCAACCATGCCCCAGTTGAAGACTGCACACCCACAGATATTTTGGGCAACATAAAGTGGTCTTGAAGGATTAAAAACAAAACAAAACAAAAAAACCCCAAGGGATACAAAGTTGGATCAGTAGGAAATGGGGAGTAGATCTGGGAAGGAGGATCTGGGGGAGGGAGGATGAAAGTGATCAAAGCACATAAAACTCTCAACTAACAAAAAATAAGATAATAATTATAAAACAAAATATTTATGATTACTTGCGTATGTGTATATGTGTACCATGGAGTGTGTGTGCTCACACTTGTATACCATGGAGTGCGTGTGTGCATGTACGCATATGTGTGTATCATGGTGTGTGTGTGCGCGCATGCACATGCAGTGTACCATGGTGTGTGTGTGTGAGTGTATGTGCATGTGTGTGCGTATGTGCATGCATGTGTACCATGGTGTATATGAGTAGATCAGGGAACAGCTTTGTAGAGTTGGTTCTCTCCTCCACCTAAGTAGGCTCCTGGGACTGAACCCTCAGGCTTTGGGGCAAGGGTGTTGCCTTTTGACCGGCTCATCAGCTCATCCTTGCAAACATTTCAGCCTTTCTGAGGCTCTGTCCCTTTATCTGTAATAAAGGGGAAACTAGTTTCTACTCAGTAGGGTTAGTGTGAGGATGGAATGGGTGGGAAGAGGCAAAGTGGGGGTCCCCCAGATCATACATGCCTATCAGTGGGGACTGACATCATTTTCAGAGGGTACAGACTGGGGGGGAGGCTGCTTCCCTCTTCTTTCCTCAGGCGTGGGGTGAGGTTTGGGACGGACCCATGTCAGCTCTGTGGGGTTCTAGGACAAGATGCTTGAGTAGTCCAAGTCCAGTCCTCCAGGAATGGGGTTGGGGGAGCATGGGATGCCATAGGTCATTCACAGTCCCACTCCTGCCCTGGAGCTAAGTCAGGGAGCCTTGGAAGACCAGAGTCCAGACCCGAGCCTTGACAGGGAAGAACTGCTCCTCTGATAGATATCCTGGCTCTGGCATCCTGAGGCTGGTGGCTTCCAGAGGTCACATTTTAGAACTGGAGGCAATTTGGCTTCTCCTGGACTCTGAAGGAGCAAAGAAACTTCCCTGAGATCTCAGGGGAAGTGGGTGGGAGGCAGCAGGGCTGCTGTTTCACTGGAGGGCAGGGGTCAGGGGGTATAGAGTTCAGGAAGGAAATGGGCAGGAGGGATGAGGCGGGGATCTGTAGGAAGAACTGTGTGACTGACAGGACCTGCACAGAGTGTGCTCCAGGCACAGCTTCTTCTCTGTGGGGTGCAGCGGAGGCAGGGAGGGGGTGTTGGGAGACAATGGCCAGGGCTTCCACAGGGCACCCCTTGTCATTCCTTAACTTTCTGCTCTGGGGCCAGGGCTCTTGTTTGTGCTTGGGATGCTCTTGCTTTTCCCTTGGGCTGCAGGTGAGGGTCAGATGGCTTCCTCCTAGGACTATCTGGATCTACCCCACAAAACCCGAGTTCTGCCTCTGCTTTGAGCATAGCCTATGGGGATGGAACTTGGGCTGTGTCCCTGGGTCTCTTCTAGAAAATTCTGGACTCCTCAGCTGCATGCTTGGTGTCTCTTCTCATTCACAGCCATGATGTCATCCCATGGCTTGCTAGAAACAGTCAGATCTTAAGCTTTAAAAAGTTTAAAAAATTTTGAAACAGTGGCTCATGTCGTCCAGGCTAGCCTCAAACTCATGATGTAGCTGAGACTAGCTTTGGACTTCTGACTCTCCTGTTCCTACCTCCTGAGTACTAGGTTTTTGAGGAGTAATCCCCCCCCAGCTCCCAGCTCACATCGGGGTTATAAACCTTGTTTCAGAAGTGGTTGAGCCAAGCCATTCCCACCCCAGATCTCTCTGTATATGCTACTCTAGTGGAAGGCAGGTCCTGTCTCAGACATGTTGACTTAGGTCAGGCATCCAGTTGCCACCGTCAGCTTCACTGCTCTGCTCGGAGATCTCTGGACTCTTTGAACCTCACCACCAGCAAATTCTGTAGGCGGCAGGTAGTTTGACTGCCTTAGCCACTGAGTGATGGAAATTAGGGGACCAGTTCTCTAGCTTCCCTGCTTTTCCTTCAAAGGAATCTCGGGGCTGTGCTCTACTGCCCCCTGGAGGTCCCTGGCAGGAGAAGGCTTAGCTGCTTATGGAAAAACTCTCTTGGGCCACAGCACATTCTTCATTAGCTCCCTTCTCTGCCTCCTTCTCCATCTCCGTCTGGAGTTTCCCTGGGATCACACCATTCCCCACAGTGGTTACCATTATAGAACCTGTCTCAGCCTGGCTTTGGGTGTACAGTAAGACGCCTCTGGTGTGGGCAATGCAGTCATAGCGTTTCCTCAGGACCTCTCCTGCCGGCCTCTTACAGGCGACCACTCCTCACAGATCTCTTTCTAGTTGGCCGTGGCTGGTTTGTCCTTGGGCTGAAAGGGACTCTAAGCCTAGTGCATCCATTGGCTTTGCCGGGTTCAGTGCGACCACTGAAGTCCTCGGGCTGTGCCAGGACACCCTCTGTGGGGCTTTCGAACCGGGGACGGAGAGTGTCTGTCTTCAGCTAGCAGAAGGAAGGTTC